TTTTATACAGTCTATGAGTGAAACGTGTCATAACTGAAACTATAACCGTCATGTAGTTCCTGTGTTCTGCTTGCGGGGGCAGCACAGCTCAGAACTTCCTCTCACAAGGTCACTCCTTACAGAACCCCCACCCCCCCTGTGACATCACTGTGACATCACTGTGACATCACTGTGACATCACTGTCTGCTCTGTCGTCAGGGACGGCGAGGGAAGGGGTCGGAGCCTGAACCAGCAGACGCTGCTGCAGCTGGAGACGCTGCAGAACCAACAGCTGCAGCTGCAGGTAAACACACTCACCTGTCCAGGTGCTTCCTCTCTCTGCTGTCTGGCTCCTCATTGGCTCTCCTCTCCTCCAATCAGAGTCAGCTGCTGGAGTCTGCCCTCAGGATAGTGACAGGCCACGCCCCCCCGGCCTCTGACCTCACAGCCTCAGGTCGGCCCGCCCACCTGCAGGTCACACACCTGGATGCTGCAGGTAAACACACACACATGAGAGCACCTTGTGTTGGTCAACCTTAGGCCCGGGGGCCACCAGGGGGACACGTCAGAGCAGCTTTAACCCGTTATAGAAAGTCATTCTTGTTTTAAACAATCTGAACATTTATCACAACCAGAAAACAGACAAAGTCATTTACAGTTTTTCCTCTCCGATGATCTTTGAACTAATCGTATAATTTTCAGATCGGTGAAGAAAATGAGAAACGTTTGAGCCAAATCGACGCGTCTCATTGAAAACATACCAAATATACCAGTTATATAATTCTAACAGTTTATAGAAAACTTTTGCTGTTCTTTGACTTGTAGTAGTTCGACAAAGAGATTCGTTTACATTTAATCTGGTTTTTAAAAGTCTTTATTTCATGTAATGCAGGTGGAGCACAGTTCATTTAACACGTGGTTATTATTCGTCTGGTATCCAAACAGTCTTCATCATCATATCGTGTTTGATCAAACCATCGTCTCTGTTGTTACTTCTGGAAATGGAAGAAAAAATGAAATCGTTTCTCTTGAGGGCCTAAAATGTTTCAAATTTGGATTGCGAGAGTGTGCAGCTGCTGAAACAGTTGTTAGTAAAAGGATGATAAACGTTCACGTCGTGATGTTAAACAGAATCAAACTGAGCCAAGTGGCCAGCAGGTGGCGACGTCGCCCCTCCGACGGTGATGCTGCTGGAGTATGTGCCGTTACCGTGGCAACGTGATGCAGCAGAACACATCTGTGTGTGTGTGTGTGTGTGTGTGTGTGTGTGTGTGTGTGTGGATGCCTCTTCCTGCAGGGGATGGAGACGGGGTTGTCATGGTAACCAGGGTGTTTGTAGCACCGCACCTATTTATAGTTTCAATCCTGAATTCAGCGCTGATGCTCTGTAGCTGAGTGTGTATGTGTGTGTGTGTGTGTGTGTGTGTGTGTGTGTGTGTGTGTGTGTGTGTATGTATGTGTGTGTGTGTACATCACGTGTGTGTGTGCGTGTGTGTGTGTACATCACATGTGTGTAGTTTCAGGTTATGACAGACGACGACGGCGCTGAATAAAATATCAGCATCAGTGTCACCGAAAACCTAAAACATGTTCTTTAGCATGTTTGTGAGAGCTGCTTGAAAATCCTGGAGGGTTTCAGACCAGTTTTCAAGGCCTGGAAAATCAGAGAAATGATGAAATGTCCTGAAAATCACTGCGTCATCCTAGAATACGCTGCAGACGTACGTTTGATTCACCGTTATTGTTCCAGCACGTTCGAAACAGACGTTGATCCGAAGTTGTTTCCGACAGAGAAATGAGATCACAAACAAACCCGTGATTTAAACACTGATGCTGCTGCTCTGCAGTATTACTTGCAGTATTATATGTAGTTTTATATGCAGTGTTATATGTAGTATTATATGTAGTATTATATGCAGTATTATATGTAGTATTATATGTAGTACACGTGTGTCTGACAGTAGTACATGATGTATGATGTGTGTTGCCGGCTTTGTTTCCTTCTTCTCTCCTCCAGCAAACGGCCGGAGCTCCTCGGCAACCGCAGCCTCTTCTGCCGCCACTGCTGCCGTGGAAACCGTGCCAGTTGCCATGGAAACGTGCCGCCGTGACCGATGGCCAGAGCAAACCAGGTGAAGGGGGAGGAGGGGGAGGATGCGGTGGTGGGCGGGGGGGTGGGGGGGAGGGTGTTTCTGTGGGTCCGATCGTGACAGTTTTGTTAAACAGAGACCGAGTCCTGCAGACTGAGGTCAGCGTGGCCGGATCAGGAGCTGCAGCAGGAACAACTGAAACACCGACCGTCTGCAGAGACATCACTCTGAGATGGTTCTGACAGATATCGCACACATGAGTCAGGGTTTTAGTGCTCGTTTCTTTTGCATCTCTTTGCCGCTGAAACGAACACACAGACGACGGTGGGGTTCTGCTGCAGTCTGCACCAGACGAGCTGCAGGATGTGATTTGTTGACCGCAGCGTCTCTGCAGCATCACAAAGCAGCTTCAGTTAAAACGGCACGTCGGGCTCCTGTGGTCACCGTAATGTTAGTTTAATAATTGCTAGTTTTGCTCTGACATGTAGGACTCACCTGGAGAGCTCTGAATCAGAATTTTAAGCAGCAACAAATTAAAATATCCAAAAAAGGAGCTGATTTGTTCAGTTCTCCTGCTCACAGTCGTGTGTACCAGCAGTGGGCTGACATGGTTCTTTAAGGTCACTGATTATAAGGGATCTGGTCAGAAGAGGAGCTCAGCAGCAGCTTTTTGGAACTAACCGGCAATAAAAATGAAATTCAGAAAAACACAAACTTGAAGACTGTTGAGGCGTCTTTGTTGACTGTTACTGGTAGTTAATCAGATCCTGCTGTGGCATCAGAGTTACACCAGCACATATTAAGATGTATTTATTTTAGCGGATTAAAAGAAATGCTGATGGCTGGAAAATGCTGCGTATCGAACCCAGGAGCTGGTGGATTCTTAATGTGTTCCCACAACTGGGTTTTTAAAAGAAGTCACCAGCAGAAACGAACCCAGAACTGCCATCAACAACGAGAACATGTTGCGTCTTTGGTTTTCCATCTTTAAGCCTCAAATACAAACACTGCAGCGCCGCCATCGGACATGTGAAGTCACATCATACAAACATGCAGCTGAAACTTGTGAGAGCATCAACAAGTTTCAGAAATCTCACCTAATTTATCAGAAACTGTGTTTTTTAATCTCCCTGATGATTATGATTCAGGTCAGACTGATATGTTTCACTGAGCAGCATCCAACGAATCCACGTCAGTGAGACACTAATCACTGATCTTAGTCACATGTTTGTTGAATCCGTTCTGATTCTGGACAGTTTTCTAGAGCCTCTAACATCTTCTGGACGTCGTGGCTCCTCTTTCATTTTCAGCAGCTTCAGGTTTTCTGGGAGAGTTGGTCAGATCTTGTAACAAATTAGAGAAAAGGAGGTTTGGAGTTCCTCAGGGATCAATTTTGGGTCCTCTTTTGTTTTCAATTTACTGTTTGTTTGTACAAATTATTATACATACAAGCACAAATATAATGAAGTATTATTACCGTAAAAACACACTTTTAATAAGAAGCTGGTGCAGTTTGTGTATATAATATTCATTTCACAAGATTAAAATTTGTCCCGGAAAGTCTGATCTTCTCCTGGGACGCTAGGTGGACGGATTGTTTCATTGTCCCCCTCTGGTTCTGCCGTTAAATGATCTAATGAATGAACTCCTCATCATCATGTTACTGTGACGATAAGACAAGCGGACAAACTTCTGTATCAGCGTGTCCGGCTGTAGGCAATAAAATACTGCCACCATCAGGTCACACTGGGAACTATAGCTCTGCCATTTACAATAATCTTCCGGCATTCTGTGAAAACACATTTTTAATCGAAAGTTGTTGGAGTTTGCTTCGGAAACAATACTTTCATAAGCTGGTAATTTGTCCTGAACTTCTCTTGGAACGTTAACTGGACGAATCATTTTCATGCTCTGGTTCTAGCAAACGTTGTACCTCAGCTGCAGCATCATGTTACTGTGACGATAAGACAACAGGACAAACTTCTGTATCAGTGTGTCCGGCTGTAGGCAATAAGATGCTGCTGCAGTCGGGTGAATCACGGCTCTGCTCTTTGTAACCTTCATCCATCAGACTGTGTCGCTCATATGGATGTTTTACAGAAACACGAAGCGTCCGTCCGTGTCGTGTTCGTGTGAATCGTTGTGTTGTGGTTGTTGGATCCACGTTCGACTGTATCAGCATGTGGAGCCTCAGAGCGTCTGAACGCTGCAGCGGCCTTCATTTGCATAATCATTCATAGAGAGACTCTGCAGCTCGTCGTGTATTCAGCCCCCTCCTCCTCCTCCTCCTCGCAGCGCGGTCGCCGGGCGCGTTTCCACGGCAACGCAGGCGGTATCCATCCGAGGCACGCCGTGTGTGTGTGTGTGTGTGTGTGTGTGTGTGTGTGTGGCGCAGAGCCAAACAGCCGACATTAAACCTTCGCCTGGAGGTTTGGTGGCGGCCGGTTGGTAACATCATATTTTACCCAGAATGCATCAGGATGGCGCGGGGCCACAGTCAGCCAGTTAGCCCCGTAACGTCTGGAAACCTGGATTCACGGAAGACGTCAGTGGGTTGTTTTCTCTCCTGGTTCCTGTCTTTTCCTGCAGCTTCACCTCTTTGAACATCATGTTTTCTGTTTCTGCTGAACACAGATTTCAGAATCACGCCTCTGCGTTAAAGTCTCTCATTCAGTGTCTGTTCGTCTGTTAGCAGCAGACTGAAGCGAAACACTCTGGCTTTTATTTCAAGCTGCAAGTGTTGTCTAAATGCAGACATCTAAACACATGCAAACAGGATGAAGTCATGTTTCAGAAGCAGTAAACTGGTCGTTGCTGTATTCATGTCTCATAATCTGAGGCTGAATTCAACCGAAGCCATTAACATTAGACATTAATGGGCCGAACTCGGAGCTTCTCTTCAACCAGCCGATCATCGTGTTCTCTGTAGATGAACTAAACGTTCCTCAGAGCTCTGAGAGGTTCCACCTAATCAGTCTGAATCATAAACCAGCAGATCAGATCTCTGTAACCTGGTTATTTTCACTGACATGATGAGAACACGCTGAGCAGAGCAGCCGCACACATTCATAGGACGACATCAACCTGTGATTTCACATCGTTTTGTGGTGATTCCGAGTCTTTGTGGTGCTTTTTGCATCATTGTGTGATGGTTTTATTATCTTTTTTGGTAATTTTTCATCTATTAGAGGAGATTTTAGCTTTTTTTGTGTTTATTTTGCTTCTGTTGTGGTCATTTTTGCATATTTTTTGTTAATTCTGCATATTTTTTGTTAATTTTGCATCTACTATTGGTCATTTTTGCATTTTTTGAGGGTAATTTGGATCTTTTTGTGATATTTTAGCATCTTTTTTGGTAATTTTTCATCTATTAGTGGTGATTTTGGCTTTTTCTTTGGTGATTTTGTATTTGTTGTTGTCATTTTTGCATCTTTCTTGGTAATTCGATGTCTTTTTGGTAATTTTGCATCTATTATTAGTCATTTTTGTATTTTGGGTGGGTGATTTTGCATCTTTTAGTTTTGATTTTGAGACTTTGAGGTGATTTTGCATCTTTTTGTGACAATTATAGCATCTTTTATTGTAATTTTGCATCTATTAGTGGTGATTTTGCATATTGATGTTTGATTTTTACAACTTTCTTGATTATTCTGTGTCTTCTGTTAATTTTGCATCTGTTATTGGTCATTTTTGCATTTTTTTAGGGTAATTTGGATCTTTTTGTGATATTTTACCATCTTTTTTTTGGTCATTTTGCATCTGTTGTGGTCATTTTTGCATCTTTCTTGGTAGTTCTGCATCTTTTTTGTTAATTTTACATACATTATTGGTAATTTTTGCATTTTTGGGGGTAATTTAACATCTTTTCGTGGTAATTTTTGCATTTTGTCGCTGTTTTGCGTCTCTTGGTGTTTGCTTTGAGTCATCTTGTGTGTCTTTGCTGTTGTTCAGTCTCAATGTTGGTTCTGCATCTGTTTGTTTCGCGTCTCTTCTGGTCATTTTTAATTTGCGTGCAGATGTTTTACATCTGGTGATGAACTGTTTATGTGTGTAAAAGGTGCTTTTTTTGCTGTTTGGTTTTGCTTTTCATTTCCTAGCGTCTCTTTTTGTCACTGTTTGGAATCATTTAGTTTGTCTTTGTTTGGAGCCCAACATTCAGTTCAATCAGTTTCGACCTGATGGATTAATGATCAGAACACCTGCAGGAACCAGATCAACTGATCGTCTCTTAATTAAACTCAGTGACAGTTTGGGGACCAGTTCTAGACGCCCTCTCGTCTCGTTCATTCAACATGATGTAAACCAACACATGACTTTGTGCTTTTCCTGCAGAATCAATGCTTATTTCTCTGCATGTTGTGATATTCTGGATCCTGCTGCGTTTCCTGATTCAAACCTCTGATGTCGATCCTCTGGACGAGTTCTCCTCTGAAACCGTGCGTCGATCGTCGGAGCAGATTATCGATCCGCGCGTCGACTAACGAAGCAATGGTCTGAGCTCTGAGGTTTCCATGTTGTTGCATCAGAATCGAAAACAAGCTGAGAGACACAAAGAGGAGCGATCGAGGCTCACCGAGACAGAGAGAGAGAGGGAGAGGGAGGAAACCTGCCTAGCAACACAGTCTGCAGCAAACAGCCGAGCCGCCTTAAACAGTCCACCTTAAGGTGCTGCTGCTCAACATAAACACAGCTTGTGCTGCAGATTCAACATCATCTCGTGTTCTGCTGTAAATCACAACACGAACCAGGTTCAGCCTCGTCTCACAGATAATCCCCGTCCCATAAACTGAATTCTCTTTTTCAAGAAGCTTATTTTCTTCCTGAAAAATGAATCAGCAGCATCAGCTTCCACTCAGGAGTCACGTCTCCATGTTCACTTCACTGCTTTTTCTGTTGCATGAAGGAAAATACCAGAGATTCAGGTGAAATACGACCTTTTCTCAACACGCCAGAAGCTTTTACTCCGTTTCATTACAGCTCATGTCTGATTATTTGGCTGTAAACGGTGACTCAGATACGTATTTGTGAAATATCGTAAACAGGAGGAACGTGCTTCCCTTAAAACTAAACTGTGATGCAGTTTAGTTGTAGAGAAACTGATTTGTTCACGTTAATGGTCTGAACTCGAAGAGACGAATATTTATTTGCTCAGTTAATGGATGAACTTGGAATGAAATGAATAAAACACCACAAAACGATGTCATTTAATGTAAAAAGAGTTTAATTCTCACATTTAGATCTGGCAGCGTCGAATGTTCAACATCTTTCCTTGAAAATTTGTGAAATTCTCACTGATTTATTTCTTTTTAAAAAAATCATCCGTTAAGTTCCTCAGCTCCTCGGTGACACCTGGAGTTCTTTGAGATTTTTATTTTTTACACCAGAAAACGGTGAAAAAACGTGGACCAGAATTTCCTCAAACGTCTCGTTTAGTCCGAAGATGTTCAGTTTAAACCAGAAAATACTCACAGAGACGGAGCTGCAGTCAGAGTTTAGACACTCAGACTGATGAAGCTCTGCAGTGTTTACATGAACCAGACAGAAAAACTCCTTTCAAAGTCTTTATTGCTTTTATTCATCAGATTCTTTAATTATCTCATCAGGATTTATTGACTGGATTTACTCAGATTTATTATTAAGAATTAATGCTGTTAAAAATACAGTAATTTCTTAAACTATTCTTATTTTACAGATTTATTAAAACTGTTAAAAATGTCCACATCACAAGTCTGTACTTTATAAATGGTTGTTTGACCATAAAGTTACATAATTTATTTAAATTTGCTAAAATATAGAATTACTTTACAGGCATTTTAGCAGTTTTCTAACATCAGTTTTCCACCATTTTAACATTTTGTTTTGCACTGTTTATGAGGTGGAGCACTAGCTGATTGATTGATTGATTGATTGATTGATTGATTGATTGATTGATTGATTGATTGATTGGCTCCACATTTCAGGTGTTTCTACCTGCAGCTGTAAATGGAGCTCTGAAGGGGGAGGGGGGACACGAGGGGGGGCAACAAGTGTCATCATTGGAGGAGGGGCGGTGACGTCACTTACTCCACCAGGTGGCATTCCTGCAGGGGGAGGGGGGGTCGCATTCCTCCGCTCCTGGGGGAGTGATGCATGCAGGGAAGCAGCAGCCTCCTCCGCAGCAACAATAAGCCGACAGCCGGAGAGGAGCCGCCGCAGCCCGGACCTCCTCTCGGCGCTTCTCCCACTTCGAGCAGCAGCCGGTGGCTCCGCGGAGGAGGCAGGCAGGGAGATGTCCTCCCCGCAGGTCTCCTCGTCCCGCAGACAGTCATGCTACCTGTGCGACCTGCCCCGGATGCCCTGGGCCATGATCTGGGACTTCACCGAGCCCGTGTGCCGGGGCTGCGTCAACTACGAGGGCGCGGACCGGATCGAGTTCGTCATCGAGACGGCGCGACACCTGAAGCGGGCTCACGGCTTCCAGGAGGGCCGGTCCGCGGCGGGAGGACCGCAGCAGCAGCAGCAGCAGCAGCAGCAGCAGCAGCAGCAGCAGCCCGCCGCGGCCAAGAGCCAGGCGGTGCTGCTGAGCGGGAAGGAGCCGGTGGGGCCGCTGAACCACCACCACCACCCGGCGGACGGACCGGGGAAGTCTCAGCAGCCCGCTCTGGACCGGTACTCGCTGGGAGCGGACAGCCGGGCTCGGTTCGACTACAGCGGCCACAGCAGCAGCAGCAGGCTGCCCAACGGGCTCGGAGGACCGAACGGCTTTAAGGACGACGGACCGCCGGAGCTCAACCGGCAGAGCCCGAACTCCCGGAGCCGGAGCCACGGGGGGCTGGTATCGGCTCCGGGCCAGATGAATGTACCGCCGAACCTGCTGCCGCAGACCCTGCTGAACGGACCGGGCCCGCACATGGCCGGCAGAGCGCCGCCGCAGAGCTCCATGGTCGGCGTGCTGAGCGGGCAGGTCGGGCTGGCGGAGCCCGGAGGGAAGCGGCCCGCCTCGGTGTCCAGCACCGACCAGGAGCGGGAGCTGAAGGAGAAGCAGCGCAACGCGGAGGCTCTGGCCGAGCTGAGCGAGAGCCTCCGGAACCGGCAGGAGGAGTGGACCAGCAAGCCGAAGGCGGTGCGCGACACGCTGGTCGCCCTGTCCGGCTGCACGCCGTTCGACGTCCGCTTCAAGAAGGACCACGGGCTGGTGGGCCGCGTGTTCGCCTTCGACGCGGTGTCCAAGCCCGGGATGGACTACGAGCTGAAGATCTTCATCGAGTATCCGAGCGGCTCCGGGAACGTGTTCTCCAGCGCCTCCGGGGTGGCCAAGCAGATGTACCAGGACTGCATGAAGGACTTCGGCCGGGGCCTGTCCTCCGGCTTCAAGTACCTGGAGTACGAGAAGAAGCACGGCTCCGGGGACTGGCGGCTGCTCGGGGATTTACTGCCGGAGTCGCTGCGCTTCTTCAAGGAGGGCGTGGGGGGAGACATGCTGCCGCAGCCCTACATCGACGGCAGCTACCCGCTGCTGCCCACCTCCCTGGTGCTGCCCGGCCGGGCTCTGGCGTCGGGCAGCGGCAGCAGCGGCTCCAGGGCGGCGGTGAGAAAGAGGAAGGCGTCCCCGGAGCCGGACTCGGCGGACGGCGGGCTGAAGCTGACGGAGGAGCAGCAGCGGCAGCAGTGGATCAACAGCCAGACCGAAGCCCTGAAGCTGTCCATGGCTGCGGGCTCCTTCGCCGGGCCGCCGCCCCCGCTGGGCCCGGGACACCCCGGGCTCCCCCCCGGCCTCCCCTCCGGCCGCGCCACACCCCCGGAGCCCGCCGCGCCCCCGCAGAACGGACAGTCCCCGATGGCCGCGCTCATGTCGGTCGCTGACACGCTCGGGAACGCGCACTCGCCCAACAAGGACCGGGACTCGGTCCACTCCACCACGTCCTCCTCCAGACACAACAGCAGCAGCCCGGTGTCCCCCGCGTCCGTGTCCGGGCAGCGGCGCCTCTCGTCCCGCAACGGGGACCTCGGGCTGCCGGCGCCGTCGCAGTCCTCGGGAGGCATGGACCAGGTGCACGCCCAGAACGTGCCCGACTCCCCGATGGCCAACAGCGGGCCTCTGTGCTGCACGATCTGCCACGAACGCTTGGAGGACACCCACTTCGTGCAGTGTCCGTCCGTCCCCGGCCACAAGTTCTGCTTCCCCTGCTCCAGAGAGAGCATTAAGGCCCAGGGAGCCTCCGGAGAGGTGTACTGCCCCAGCGGGGAGAAGTGCCCGCTGGTGGGCTCCAACGTGCCCTGGGCCTTCATGCAGGGGGAGATAGCCACCATCCTGGCCGGAGACGTGAAGGTAAAGAAGGAGAGAGACCCGTGAGGAGGAAGAGGAGCTGCTGGTGCTGCTGCTGAGCCTCAGGCTGTCAGTGGAGGGACAGTATTGATCCCAATCAATCAATCAATCAGTCTGCTTTTAGTTTGGATCACAGATCACACTGAGGTACTTTAACAGAGTCTTTTTCTTTCATGCAACATGTCAGCACCGAGGATGCTTTTCTATAAATCAAACTCACAGAATCTGTAAAACCAAGTCGACCTGATCAGGTTATTGATCGTTTCGGTCATTTTTCAGCCACAGAAAGTTCAGAATTTTCTGTTTTTCTGTCAAATTATTTAACAGTTTCGATTTAGTTTTAAATATTGATGATTGGGCTGATTGTGCTCCCTGAAGGCGACACAATGATCAATAATTAATGCCGTTTACTAATCAGTTAAATCAGCTCCACTGACAGTAAAATGCTGTTCATGCATCACTGATCAGTGTCATGTAATCCAGGTCCAATAGTTCTGATTCAGTCCATTGTTCTGTTTCTTCCTTTGACTATTTTTGCAGGGCGGTGTTACACAATACTTGTTTATTTGTAAACTGACCACCTGCATTTCTATTCGACCAGAATGATGAATTTTATCGTATAGTTTACAGATAAGGTGGAGAATGTTCCAGATTTCTCCTGAAGTTGCTCCACAGTGAACACTGGAGTCGTACTGCAGCATCTGGATCGGCTCTGATATCCCCGTCTGTCGTTTCTGAACACGACGACGGTTTTAGTCTGTCGTTTAGACTGAATGTTGGAATCGACTCAAACATGAAGATAAAAAGACGATCAGGACGTTTTTATGAGGAAAAAAATGCTGGTTTTCAATGAAGCATACAGTTTTATCAAATGTTTCAGAAACTTAATGTGAAATAATAGCAAATTCGACATAAAACAAGTAAATATTTTGCATTTTTAAATATTTTAATTGGACTGTTTGGGGCGTAAGACACCCTAAATGTTGTTCTTTGTTTCCGGGGTGCAGAGCTTTGGCTCCATTTGCTGCAGAATCACGACCAGATCGTTTAGTTATGAACAAAAAAAAGGCTCCGATGGTTTAAAATGGATTCATCACCCTGCTGTTGTCAGTTCACCAGTCCAAGAATCAGACTTTTATCATCACGCCCAGCAAAAAATCTTTACATTTGGTGGCTTTAAATGAAAAATGGCTGAAACGGTTGATGTGATAATTAGGTAATGAATTCATCCACCTGCTTTCTGCTGCTTATCTGGATCCATTCACTGATTACGATTTCATTTAATTAATTATGTCATCGGGAGTTACACACAGCTGGAAACGTCATCTCATAAAATACCCACCGTTTCTTTTGTCCCTGCTGGATTTCCATCAGACTTGATAGTGAAATCAGATTCAATTCATAATTCTTGAATTTAACTCATCTGTTGTGTAAAAAAACAAAACAGTTTTATTTACGACAAAGCCGTCGACACGCAGCAGGAAAAAGTTGTTGAGTAAAAAACACATGAAAAGCATTTAAATCTGATCTTGTGTCACTAATCACACTCTGGGCTCCTCAGGACTCAAAAAATATTAAATTAGCATAAAATGGGAGCGATACAGAGTTCTGTGTGCAGCAGAATAACAAAGACTTGTGAGATTTGGTTTAATACAGACGTGATCCACAGGAAACAAACTCACATCACTGCTCCTCAGAGTTTCCAGCAAACTCTTTATTTTCTGTAAATTCACTAAAAATCTAACAAAGCGCCACGAAACTAAGCAAACGTCGTGAAACTGTTTGTGAATTACAGCGAAACGGACCAACGACGTGTTAGAGAAGTGGAAAGGTTCTGGTTCTGAAAAGATATTTTCCTTTTATTCCAACACGAGAAGCTTTTTTTTAATGGATCTTGTTAAAATATGATAACTTGATTATCAATATCATAATAATGCAGATCAATTCAAGACTTTGTGTGAGCCACGTGTGTTGATGAAGTTCTGCTTCACGCCGTGTTGCTGCCGTTATCGATCACATGGACGACGTATCAATCGGCTCCAGCTGATCGATGAGGCGTGACGCCGCCTGCAGACACTCGTCACTCCTTAAAATCCTCCTCTGTGTCGCGGGCTGATCACAGAATTGCGATCAATAACGGCAGAACCTCGCGGAGACTCGAGCCGAGCGTGAAGGAGAACTTCATCACTTCACGTAAATGAGCCGGACGCTTTCATTCATCAGTTTTCTGCTCCGTTTCCTCGTTTAGCTTCTCGTTATCATCACCGTTATAACAGGAAACTCTTCACACTGTAACAAATGAACGGTTTATAGTTACAACCTGAGACATTTCAACGCCGTAATAACATAAAATATCTCGGTATAATGATAAATATTTCACTTTTTTTCCTCCTGGCAGCAGCTTTCTGAATCAAATAAACCAGTCTTTGCTGAAAACAAACGAGTCAGTCCTTAAAAAACACTAAATGTTGAATGAGCTGACGGAGCAGAAGGATGCTGTGCAGCTCCTCCAGAGTCCACAGAGAGTTTTTAGAGCTGAAACAAACAGTTTAGCTGCTAATCAATTCAACTCACTGGTTTCAAGCTCTTGTTTTATTTCCATGCGAGAACGTTTGCTGATTTTATTCTGTGGTCACATTAACGAACGGTTTCAGCCCAAATGTTGAACAAAATGAGACGTAAACGTGGACTAAAAGGATAAAAATCAGCAGATAAATAAACCGAGTCGACCAAAGTTCTGCTCAAATCAGAGGAAAGGCAACAACAAAGATTAAAAAATAAACAGGATGAAAACTGACAAAATCCATTTGTAAACTAAATATAAAAGCATTGAGGGGCAGAATAACAACTTGTAAGATCGATTTGTAAAATGAAATAATTAGGAAATACTAAAATATTAAGGCTACTAATGAGATGGAACGAGCAGATAAAAGCTGATTTCACTTCATCAAAGTCAAAAAGTTTGTAAAGTTTCATTCATCGGGGACAAAAGAAAAGTTTTCTCTCCAGCCGACTAAAGACGAAGTCAGATTTCAAACCTGAAGATGACGAACGTTTAGTTTCACTGTAGCGGCTGTAAAATGCCGCTCAACTTTTTTAGCTTCTTTTTTGTTTCCACGTCGAGCCGCTCGAGTTTCTTTCGCCTCCGACAGATGAGCAGCGTCCGTCTGACTCGAGGAGACTCGGTCCACGTGGTCCAGTTGCTTTGTGGCGTTTTCACTCAGTTTACTTTCATTTTCAGCCGCGACTGTTTACCGTAGTTCTGGTTCGCTGTTTGCTTTGCTGTGAACTCGGGGGTGTGTTTACTTCCGGTTGCTGTTGTGTACTTTGGCTCCTTGTCAGTGTTTACTTTCGTTCATCACCGCTGTTTACGTCCGTTCACCGTCACCGTGCCGTTTGCTTTTGTTTCCGATCGTTTCTCTCTTTTGGTCGTCGCTTCCTTTTGTTTCCGATCATTTTTATTCACTGTAAACGTTTGTTGTCATTCGTTGTTTGGTTTCGTTGTCGTTCGCTGTTTATGTTTCGTTTTTGGTCGCTTTTGGTTTCGTCTTCTTTCGCCGTTTGTTTTTGATCTCAGTTTAATTTCATCATTTGTTCTAAACGATTGTCTGTGTTCGCTGTGTGTTTGTTTCTGTTCGGTTGTCGTTTCTGGTCCCTGTTTAGTTTCGTTTTCGTTCACTGTTTATGTTCATTTTTGGTTCCTTTTATGTTTTTACGCTACAAAACTACGAGTTCAGGTTTAGCAGAAGATGACGGTTGGTGTTAAAGTCGAACCAAACACGAAGCTCTTTTTATGAGATGACGAGTTCCTTCACAATAATAGCCCTGAAAAAAAGCATCTCACTATTTTGCAGCTTTTATTGTGAAAATATTGCATTTTGCACCAACACATTTGTGAGACTGGATAGACGGTGAACAATCACGTCTGGTTCAGTTGAAAGTTTTTAAAAGCAGGTTTGAAGGCGAGCTGTGTGTCATCGTCGTCATTTAGCCTCAAACATGTTTAGTTCTGCAAACGTTTCATGGAGCGATTCACAAGAGGAAGTCGTCGACATACGATGGAGACGTCCGGTTTTCTCTCCACTGAGGCGTCAACGAAGCCATGAGGTTTTTCAGCAGCTGCAGGTTCGCTGGAGGACGAAGGTCAAACATATAAATATTCTACGTGTGGATGTTTCAGAACAAGTCGTCTAACAGAAATCCGAGTGTTGGTGTTTGTCGTGGAGGTGCCGGAGGTGAACAGTGATGTTGTGTTTCAGCAGACAGACGCTTCAGAGACTGACGCTAACAAACGCCATCGTCACGTTATCAAGTCGTGTCTGTACGTTAAAAAACAAAACAACAACAAAAAAAAACAAACAATGCGTTTTTTATTTTTTATAGAAGCTGTTTGATTTTTTTTTTTAGAATCATTTTTGATTTTTTGTATTTTTTAATTGATGATTGAGAGTTTTTTTTTATTAATTTGAATGTTTTACTGCAATAAAAACCTTTTTCTTCAGCCTTTCTTTGTGTTTCTGTCTCGCATCGGCGGTTTTGGTTCGGCGGTTCCTGTTTCTGTTTCTGTTCCTGTCGTGACAAATAAAAGTGATAAAAACAGATGAAACGAACACCTTTGATCTTGTAACGTGCCTTGGAGCTGAGTCCGTTGTAATAAATTCCATTGGTATGAACCTTTTCAGTGAAATGAGACTTTTCTTTCTGACTCCACAGCTGGGACTCGCCTTTACTTTGAAACTCTGTTGGTGGAGGTTTTTGGACGAGAGCTCAGAGTCTGTGCAGAAATACGTCTTTCGTTTTGAGTGTTTAACTTCAGTGACGAGCTGCAGCAGCTCGGTGAATACGATGTGTGCTGGCTGGAGGAGGACAAAAGCAGTTGTTCTTTTTCTGCAACGAGATTCAATGAATTTGTTTTGACTCATGAGTTTATTTAAAACAAGTTAAACTGGAATTAAAGGGAAACTTAGTTGAGCTGCAGCAATTAATGGATTCCTGCTCAGCTGCTGAATTAATCGGCAGGTATTTGA